CTGAGTTGAACAACCTGATTTAGTTTCCAGGCTGATTTGAGTTGAACAACCTGATTTAGTTTCCTGGCTGATCCAAGTTGGAACTACCTGATTTAGTTTCCAGGCTGATCAGAGTTTGTCTAATTCTAAGGTTTTGCTTGCCATGAACAAAAAATCAACACTGACCCAAGCAGAAATTCTGCACAATGCCAGATGAATGCCGGATACTGACTGGGAGTGGAGCTTAAGTAGTCTGGTAGGGGGATTCTGGAGACAAGGATTAGTCCGATGATGCGTGAAGCCGGGAACTCTTGAGAAGGGATTAGGCTGGCTTAGTGATGCGTGGCGTCATCAGTGACATCTGGCGCCCCATCCTCAACCCTTCTTAGTTCGCCTTATGGGTCATCTATACCCTTGGCACCCTACCCCAGTTCTTCCTTAAGTCTGTCTGTGGGTCCTCTTTTCCCTTGGCACCCATGTTTACCCATCCACACCCCCATCAGTACTGCCACACCTGAGTAAGTTTGAGGCATTTAGAGTGAGCGGATTACCACCGGATACAAAAGCTCTCCACCACCGCAATCTGGCCCTTATTGAAAAGAGGTCAGCAGTTCACGGTGCCGGTTTCGGGAGCAAAAGAATCTTACGTAACACTGTACAATCTGGGCTCTTTTTCAAAGGTTGCAAGCCAGGCTGAAATATTCAGGAGTTAATGAATTTTACCTGTCAGCTTTAGAGTAGTTCTCAAAGAGTCCTTCATTTTGGTATAAACGGCTATTAAATGAAATGATGAATTTTTGAAGACTTTTGAAAACGGAAAATCTTGAAAAGAACCCTGGCTTGTCTGGCTCAAGAAAAATCCACCCGGCAGCAAGTGGTTAATGACCTCATCATTTGCAACAATTTCCAAATCCAGGCTGATCCAGCGGGAACATGCTCAGTTGATTATATATAACCGGTACCCACTGCTTCATTTGACTCGGACCGGCCAGCCGACCCCGGCAAGCTCGGTGGTCGAGTGGTTAAGACATCTAGACTAGTAAGCAGGAGGTCGTGGGTTCGAGTCCCACCCGAGTAAGCT